GGAGTTCAAAGGAGAGATGACATTTTAACACAATTCTTCAAAGAGGAAGCAGCATTTGAAAAAAATTGTGTAAGATCTTGGCACACAGAGATGAGGGTGAGTAATACATGTGGAGGGAACAGCAGAGACTCTGACCCACAGATAGGAACTGTGGGGTCCTTCGGGTAGCTGGGGCAGCTGCTGGCTGCAGCCAATGATATGCACAGGGAGCAGGGGGAGGGCAGATGAGAGAGGCAGACCACCCGAGCGTCCCTGGGGACGGCTTCACTGGGTGGGGAGTCCTTACTAAACATGGTGTACAATGGGGAGCTGGTGTCAGTTTCTGAGCTGGGAGGTAACGTAAGCAGGGCTATATGCTGAAAAGACAAATCTGGCAAGGATTGTAGCAGAGTTTGGAGGGTGTGGGCAGGCCAGGGTGTCTGAGTCATCAGGTGCCACCCCGGCCAGCTTCCAGGTGAGTGTGGGTTCTCCTAATGAGCACATTCCTAGGTGACTCTAAGATTCCTTTATGGCTTGTGAGGTTTGCAGTACAACAGGGCCCTCTACAGGCATCTTGATGATTAGACTCAGAAGAATTTAGATGAGGAAAGATCTTAAAATTAATCCCAAAACCAAGTTTGCAGATTTATAGGCCCATAGGAACTCTGAGCTGATAGCCTAAGCGACAGAGGCAGCTTGGGTGCTGAGGGCACACTCCTTCCAACCAAAGCTATATGAGAAGATAAGACTGGTGCTCTATACCTTCTATTTTTCAAAAGAAGCTAGATTTCTGTAGTTGAACTTCTCGGTTTCTAAATGTGGCCTTGATTTACAAGAAAAACTGTGAAAACAAAAGGAAATATGCCTATAGGCAGGATCTGCCTGCTGGGTGTCATATTTTCAACATACAACTTCCAAGTAGGAAGGGAATGTGGAGGTCATCTTTACAGTATAACTCCTCCACTCGACAGACAAGAATATCATGTCCAAAGGTGCCCAGCAAAGTTAAATACTCAGACAGCTGGACTAGAACACAGGTCATTGAAGTGTCAATCCATTGCACAGATTTTTTAGTGTTCCAATTTTTTCCCTAAAATTTACTGGTTTTCCCTAAGGAGTATGTGGGGTTAGGGGTAGGATTGAAGGTGATGTGGTGGGAAGGGGGTTGATGAGATTTTTACTATAGATGTGAAAACCACTTGGCTGCCTCACTCCTCATCCCATCACCAACCTGAGTCAGGTGTGTCCCAGTTCCCTCGTCCACAGAGTAGGATAGAATATTCCCAAGTGACTTCTTTCCCTGAGTCCTGAGGATAAACTAGGGTTCATTTGTAGTCTCCAGTCTCTCCCCACAGTGCACTCAACTGTGAGCAGGCACATGACATTGTTCTGGCTCCACCCTAAGGATGGAATGCATATCTTAATAATCTGCAGATGACGGCAGGGAATTTTTGTGGTTGATTCATGACAAAGGTTATTATTTTAGCCATTTAAAGGAAAAAAATTTTTCTTTTGCATACAAATCACTTGCGTATATCTCTGAGTTCATCAAGAAATTAACCTCCAACATTTAAAAAATATTAAATAAAATTTTGAGAATTATCATATAGAGCTTAGATGAGGGACTTTGGCATCAGATCTACCTGTTTCAGGTTCAGGCTCTACCACTTAAAGGCTATGTGACCTTGAGCAAGTGGATTGCCTTCGAAGCCTCAATTTCACATAGTGGATTAACTAAAATAATGCAAATAATGCTTTCAAAGATTGTAAGTGTTCATAAATGGCAGATCTATTCCACTGTTGCTTCAACTTGATTTGTTAAGGAACTTAATCATTAACCAATATTTTTGTGCAATCTTAAAAATCTGGAGATGCCATTTTTATCCCCCCCCCCCCCCCCCCCCCCC